GGTTACAGTTTACAATAATAATTAAAATTTTCTTTTTTGGTTTCGTTTCTTTTCGAAACAATATTAATAAAAAATTATTTTAATAATTATTCTTGTTTGGTAACTAATAATAAAATCGAATTTCATTCGACTAATTAATTAATTATACTAAATAAAATAGTCTTTTAAATTTAAATTCTTTTTTTCTTTTATTAGTAATTTTTTTTATCAACTAATAATACATTTATTGAGTGTGTTACATAAATATTAATATAAATCTTTACTTGGATTAAGTGCAAGGTTTCATCTTTTTTTTTATAAATGATTAATTAATTGTACGATTATTACACTATTAGATTTGAGCTTAAAAATTTATTTTTATCTTTAACGTAAAAAAAAAAAAAAAAAAAATATCACATAAAAAAATAATAATAATATTAATATACTAAAAAAAAAAAAAAAAAATAGATTCTACAAATAATTTTAAAGTGGGAGGGGGGGGGAATGACTTTTTGTATTTTTTAAAAAAAAAAAAAAAGAAAGTGGCATCATAGAAAAATTATCATCATTTAAAATATTGTGGAAATTCATTACTTATTTCTCTCACGAGTTGTTGATCTTTGAGACTTATCTCAGTTTCTTCGCAAAAAATTCGAGTGAAACATTTCGAAAGATCATCTTTTCTATGATGATGTTCAGAATATTCTGAATTTCTCATGACTAATTTACAAAGTTGAAGGTATTGGTTTCTCCTCTGAAAATCCAAAAAAAAATCGAGAAACGTTATTCGGGTTCCGAGAGAAAGAGGCGGGGGTGGGTTAGGTGGGTGGGTGGGGTGGGAACCTAGTACCTGATCATCCGGAGATAAATCTGCCAATTGTCTAACAATAATATCAATTAAAACTTTAACATCGTTCGTGTAAAATAAATTAGCCGTGTTCCGATGACTAAATATATCAATGAAAATTTTCAATATCGAATTTCTCGGAGCTGGTTCGTGTTCGAATATTCGAACGGGATCATCTAAAAAAAAAAAAATTAATTCGTTATTATTGGCATTACGCATCGCGCACACGCACACGCACACGCACAACTCTCATTTACCTTCTCTATTTAATAATAATAATATTTTTTCCGTGAAAACTTTTGCGACGGGTCTTTGAGAGAGGGATTTAACGACGACATTGTCTTGTGAATTTTTAAATTGTAAATTATACGATAATATTAAAGCTATAAACAAATCGGGTACTTGATCCTCGACGTCCGTATCCGGAGGATTTTCAATATGATTTAATAAAAAATCTATGAAATCTGATCCCAGGTGCTCTGACAACAAAAAACAAAATACAAACATATATTTGTGGAAAACTTAATTTTACCTTTTTTTTCTTTTTTTTTAGAAAAATATAAACTCACCCAAATGATTTATCGGCATGGGTTCGCCCATGGAAAAAATCATTGTTAATAAAAGAGAAGAATAATTTAATCTTGGAATGTTTCTCGGATTTGTTTTCATGTCTCTCGCCAACTCCATCGGCAAAACGGACGACAGAAAAATACTAATTATTGCGCGATCCAAACTGCATAAAACTCCAAGTGCTTGTAAAAGAGGCTGCCTTATGCTCCATCTTGTTTCCATTTGATAATATTGTACGAGAGCAAGAACTCCAGAATACTGATCGTTTGAAATTACGTGTCGACTGATATTGGAATCGGCATTCATCTTTAAAAAAAAAAAAATTCGTTACAGGAAAAAAAAATCCATTTTTTCTTTTCTTGTTTTAAATAAAAACGTTTTTGAATATCTTACGAGTATGGATGTTAATTCTTTTACGTATTCAACGATTACAGCTTCATCTTCGTGCAGCATCCAACTTCTCTGTTGAGCATCATCCTTACAAGATGTTAATTCGCTGAAAATAATTTTCAAACGTTTGGCATCGTGAGTATCTTCGATTATGGGCATGGGAGCTACGATCGGATTTTGAACTAATTGTAAAATTTTGTCGAAAATGGGCGAATTCGGCATTAATTTTTGCAATTCCGATATCACAACGTTGACGGCAACTTTTGATAAATCGTGACTTAACTCCGTGTGACACCTCACCTTACGAATCGAATCAAAAAATTTTAAAAAAAATTTTATTTTATAAAAAAAAAAAAAAAAATGTGTTCCCACCAACCTGTTCGACAATTTGATACACTATTTCTTTCGTTATGATTTCATTTTCAAATTGCGAATTTTTTCTCGATGAAGGAAGACTTCGAGATTCTTCGACAGAAGACTCTCTCCTGCTGCAACTCGTGGGTACTGTTTTTTTCGAATCGAAAAACGGAGTTCCTATTTGTCCAGAAATGTCCGACACCGTCTCTCTACTCGTCGATCTTTCTTTCGTCAACGGACCTGATGTTTGTCCCAACGAAGAATAACTTCTCGTTTCTAAAATTTCCGTTTTTTTCCCACCACCACCACCACCATCATCATCATCAGCGTCATTTTTGGCATTTGACAAAAAAGAAGGTGTGCTTGGATAATGTTTTATTTTCGTTTGAGAATTTAATAGTAACGGGGGTGAAATTCTCGAAACCGAACTGCACGTTGAAACCATACTGGAAAATTCCATTTCCTTTGTAAAAGACGTGTTCGACTCTCGTCTGCTTATTAATTTTTCCACATCGTTTTTCCTTTCTAGTAATTTCAAAAGAACTTCTTGTCGATCGCTTGGCAAACAACCTTTCGCTTTATCGCTTTCTTTTCTCAACAAGTATATACAGTCGTCTACGAATTTCGTCATGAAATCAGGAAGGACTTGAACGGAAATGACGTAGTTGGATGGTACGTAACCGACTTGTGCTTTACAATTAATTACTTGCCACCAGTTTTTTTGCTTTGTTGACGATTGATATATAATAAAGTAATCACTTTCGCGAAATGACAAAGTTTTTGCTATTGTCGCCTTGAAATTATACAGGGCCTTAGCCATTTCTAAAACTTCCGTTTTTTCTTCCATTCCAAATATTTTTTAAATTTTCGATGGGACTGATTCTTAAATTTTTTTCATGTTATGTCTAGAAAAATGAATTTTACACTTTACACGGTGAAGGCTTTTAGACACAAAAAAAAAGAAAAAAAGAAAAAAAAATCATTTCCATTTGCGTTTAAAAATAATATCTATTGATCAAAGAAATATGTCAGATTAAGAATAAAAATGAAATTTTTTTACCTTTTTTAACTTTTTTATAACATTTTAACCTATGGATAATTTTACGATGGTAAAAAAAAATTATTCAAATTAATTTCAATTGATACACATATATCTTAAATGATTTAAATTAACTCAAGTAACTGTTTTAAAAGGAATGACAATTATGCTAATTTTATAAGAGAGCAGAAGACACGGACACGTTTAGTAATAAATTAAAAAAAAAAAAAAACGAATGCTTATTTTTAAAAATTTCAATCATTCATTAAATTCGCCTGATATATATATAATTTCATAGTTAAATGAATTTGAAATAATTTTTTGTAATTTACTTTTCGAAGAAAGGAAATGAGACAATTAAAATATTATATTTCATTTATAAATAATTTTCTTGTTATTAATAATCGGTAAAGTTTTCCAATCGAAATATTATACTCCTTTATTTTTTTTTTTTTTTACTATCGATTATAAAATTTGAAATGTTATTTTAATAATACCTGTCATAAAATTTAAATATATTTCGTTAATTTTTTTTCTATTTTCGAATCAAAAGTTATGACAATCAACAGAGTATTTAAATATAACCCCCCTCCCCCACATACAAACACACAAGAAAAAAAAAAAAACTTTGCAGTTTTTATGTATTTTTATTTTTTAACTTACGTTATTTGTTATCATGTGCCTGTCACAACTATCAGATTTACGACGACCTGAC